CCCCAATGGCTGATGTTATCTGTGTAAGTGCTAGTGCATACCAATAATCCCTATAAGCTTCCAGTTGGCTGCACTGTAAATGTCACTCGGAACATTCCCAGCATGCTCCAGACTTTCCGTCCATATTTTATAACTTCACTTGTTAAAGGACATTTCCTCTATAGCCATGAATTGCTGCATTGTTCTTCGGTAGTCAGGGCTGCAGAATTTGTTCTCTGGAAAGGAATCTATGGTATAGGCAAATTCCATAGCACACACCACCCCAATGTCTTCTTGAGGCCTCATTTATGGACAGCCTCTATTACAAAGGATAAAAGTCACCACTGAGCTGACATCATACCAGGCTATGTTCTCTTACTATTGTACAATAGGTGTAGCCATGCTGTTCTAATATTCGTAGACTTTAAGGATTTGTTCACACCCCATGTTTTGGGCTGTGCAGCCCTAATACATGTATAAGGCAAAGGGCTGCTTTGGTGTAAAAAATCAGGCAGGCTGCATTTGATCACAGTGTAGCCTATGCTAGGTTTAAAGAAAGCAAAACCTGTAGCATGCATCACCAGCAGCACATACTAATACATATGTGCTAACACAGTGGCATGGACAAGCCCCATAGTAGTATTCTATGTTTAATTTCACGTTATATAGTTTGTTTGGGCCAAGCATTAGTTGCATACAGTAGGACGTGCTGTGTTCCGCCAACAGTACAGGCAACCTCCTGTCTGCTGCCGAAATTAAAGTGAGGTGGGGTGAGTGTTTCTCCACCATTCAGGAGAAGCCTTGTATTTTTATCATTGAATACAATGCTTCCTCTGATTGGCCAAGGTGGAAATTGCGATGTCACCTGACCTCCTCTCCCTCTCATACAGCCCTAAACGTGAGAACAGCTCAAAAAAATGTCCAGCATGTGTTTCAGCATGTCAGAGATTTTGACAATTTGCTGGTAGTGGGCTGGAAGCTGCACCTTTTTGTTTCCCATGATTTAGTGCTGACAAGCCAAACCACCTGTGTGTATGAGACCTTTTGGCCATACATGCTTCGATTGCCATTTTTAAAAAAAAAAAATGATTGAATCCGCAAGCAATTGAACAGCCATAACTACCCTTCCAATTGCTTTAGCCTTAATTTTGATCGGATTTGATCATAGTCGATTGGCCACTGTGGAAAATGTATTGATTATTTTGCATCAGTTGGCAGCACTGAATTATTGTTCATGAATATTTCAATTGATTAGATTCTAAGATTACATGGTGGATTCAAAGATGCGATCAATAACTTAAGATCATACATTGCGACCGTATCGTCACTATCAATCGAAATACACAGTGGGGGAGATTTACTAAAACTGAAGAGTACAAAATCTGGTGCAGCTCTGTGTAGAACCATTCAGCTTCCAGATTTTATTGTCAAAGCTTAATTAAGCAAGCTGAAGTTAGATGCTGAATGGCTCCCATGCACAGTAAATCAGTAATTTTAGTAAATCTACCCCACTGTGACATATCGATCAAATAGGTTGTCATCTACAGATCTATTTATTCCAATTTGAGGAGACTGATTGGAAAATAAATAATTCATTTATTGAAGTGTGTATGGTCACCATTACCATGATCTTGGGATATAGTGTTATCAGAACAGAGCACCTAAATGCAGGATGGCCGTGGCAAATCAAGGGACAGTTAGTATCTATGTAGTGTATGAGAGATCAAACCCGATGATTCTACCATTTTCACAATGAGCCTGGGTTCACACTGATGCGGTGCGGAATTCACAGCAGTTTTCTGTGTGAATTCTGCACCGCAACACAATCACACTCCGTTCATGCGCGAACCGCTGCGGGTGTGTATGTTAAGTTAAAACGCGGTGCAATGTGCAGAAATTGGACTGCATAGGTTTGAATAAGGTCTAGATTACCACCCTTATCACTTTTTTTGATAACTAGATTTTGAGCTTCTTTTAGTTCTCTCAGGGCTTTTCTTTCATCTGAGCAAACCCTTTGGCGCTATATAAACTCAATGTAATAATAATAATAATCTGTGGAGAGGTTATCCAGGATAGGGCTATCCCAATTTGAGTTTCGAAAAAAGGTCTTCCTGAACTAAGTCCAGGAAGACACCTAGCCATTTATTTTTCCTAAATTGCGAAAAATAGTAACATTGGTCAGCCACCTCCACTGTTCATCTATAGAGATGTCTTCATTTTCACTGCTATCTGGGTTCCCCTCACCAGATTATCCAGTGCCTCTTGTTCTTCAGGCTCTAGATTATATTCTATATCTGGACTTTTAGATTTCTCTAAACGAGTTAATTTAAAAAAAAAAAAAAAAAACTTTCCTCAAAAACAGACATAGGTCTTTATAAACTTCAAAGTGATCCATCTTGTTAGCAGGTGAAAAACTAAGGACTTTATTTAGTAGTTTCAAATGTCTTTTTTCAAGCGGGAAGTAAGAGAGATTGGTAACCTTCATATCATTTAGAGGTGGCACAGATTAGAGCTCCACTGTCTCACAACAATGTAATTGATAGGCATGCAGCACAGGAAGATATTAGCCCACAAGGTTTCTGGTAGGATCAACTGGTATTTTATGCAATTGGCCTAATGCAGCAGGTAGGAAGAACAGTAGTCCCAGGAATCTTTAGGAAAGGAAGTAAAAAGTGAACACCTGCAATGGAGTGAGATAAAAACTTATTGGCACATTATCCTTGGGGGTTGACAAGCTATCACGATCAACCCATTTGTTTGATGTCATGGAGTTGTCAAAAAATAGATATAGCCACTGATCCAAACAGCATGATATAATAAAAAAATTGCAGAGTGCACTGGCATAGTGTAGAATTTTTGATGTAAATAAACACTTGTTGATGCTCTACTCTACGCTAGCCTTGAAGTGACAACCATCCTGGTGCCCCCCATGGATCTTCTGTTGGACGCAACAGTGATCTTCTCTTTCCTCCATTTTTTTATTCCTTCCCCCCATTAGTGGGGCTATGGACCTGAACTGTACTAGAATTTTTGATGAACCACTGTGCCTACTTAATTGTATATAAATTGAATAGACTGTTTAGATGGGCAGCTCAACATGCACATGGGCACCTGGGGCCATATAATGTAAAATTCAGGCATATTTATCCTCCCATGCACTACAGGCACTGCTTACAGCTGCCCGCCCATAGAAATCAATGCCAATATAAAGCAGTATGTCCCTGGATGCAGACAGCCTGTGTCCAGGGTCTTCTATTTGTACGCATGCTTGTTTTTGAAAGTACCAACATGTGCAGCCATTGATTTCTAGGGGCAGCTGTACACAGCACCTGTGGCTCCAAGGTGGGGAAATATACCTGAATTCTACATTGCATGGCTCCATTAGGTAGTTGTTGCTAAATTGCAAATTGCACAGAAATTGCAGATCAGGTTGTAAGATATACTATATTGTCAAAAGTATTGGGATGCCTGCCTTTACACGCACATGAACTTTAATGGTATCCCAGTCTTAGTCTGTAGGGTTCAATATTGAGTTGGCCCACCCTTTGCAGCTATAACAGCTTCAACTCTTCTGGGAAGGCTGTCCACAAGGTTCAGGAGTGTTAGGAATGGACTGGCCAGCAATGGTGGGACTCACCTGCCTTTTGATCTGCAGTACCAGGGCTGGCCAGCGGGTGCTCCCAGCAATCAGAGACTCAACCTTTCAGCCAGCTAACACCTGGAACTGATGATGCTGGGGTATTTAAGGGATGGCCAGACCCACAGACTCTGCCTTGGTGTTGTGTTTGTCCTGGGCCCTGTATCTGTCCTGCATCCTGTTTCTGTCCCTCTGCCTGACCCTGTACTACGCTGCTTGTTACCTGTTTTGATCTCTGGCTTGTGACCCTGACCATCCCTCTGCCTGACCCTCTGTACTACGCTGCTTGCTACCTGCTGAACCTGGCCTGTGACCCCGACCATTCTCTGCTTGCTCCCCCTGTACCTACCTGCCCAATTGATATTGACCCGGCCTGCCTGACGACGCTTGCTTGTATGTACTGTTATCTGTGGGTGGTTTGGTTTGGTTTGTTTGCACTGTATTATGTTTAGTATTGCACTGTGTTTATGTTTGTATGGTTAGTGTTAATAAATTGTATTGTTTATCACATATCTGAAGTCTGCGTTTCCCTGCGTCAGTCACACACCTCTGGTCACACCTGGGAGCCCTGACATTACACCAAGGCCAATCCTGACCAGAAGTGGCTGCACAGGGAAGCCATCTTGGCTTGTTGATGGGAAGGATGGATCTTGATGAGGTTGAATATTTATATCTGCTAGTGTTTGATGACAGGGAGTATGCTTATCAAACTCTGAAGGAGTATCCCCGGGATGAACTACTAGAATGTATACGGCTCGCTCATGTTCTAGTAGATCAGGGCACAGAGTTCTCTGAGGTGCAGCCTTTGATTGAGGTTTGTGCTGAGTTGGTTTCATCTGGTTCCCCCGAATGCAGAGATGAATTTTTGCCACCATTTAGTGCAGACCAGGTAGAGTCCCTGGTGTGGTTATTAGAGGATGATGTGGGTTACTTTCTGGAGCGTTATTCCACATGTTCACCACAGACACTAAGAGATTGTATAAACGCAGTACAGTCATTGACCAGACAGGCTTTGTGTAAGCTCAGCTTTGTTCAACCCATACTGCAGACATGGACAGATTTGTTGCACCCAGCCTCAGTCAGCTTACAAAGACCCAGTCCTGCTTCTAATCTATTTCCTCAAAACTCTATTCCTGCATTCCCAACAGCTCCTCCTGCCCTGCTATCTACCGCATGTCAGTACCCTGTTCCCACTCGCTGCACCTATCCTGCCTTTAACCCTGTAAAAGAGCCCTCTGTAGCAACCGCTCCCCCTCTCCTGTTCCATCCTCCAGTTCTTCTCTGTCTCCAGCTGCTCCATTCGTTTGCAGACCTGCATTTACTTGCAGTGCTCCAGTAGTTAAAACCAGAAAAAAGCGAAAATTCTTTCCAACCAATACCATCCTGCCAGTATCCAAACCGGTGAGCCTGCCTTCCGTGGTTCAGCCTGAAGCCTCTACTCGGCCTGAAGCCTCTACTCGGCCTGAAGCCTCTACTCGGCCTGAAGCCTCTACTCGGCCTGATGCCTCTACTCGGCCTGATGCCTCTACTCGGCCTGATGCCTCTACTCGGCCTGAAGCCTCTACTCGGCCTGATGCCTCTACTCGGCCTGATGCCTCTACTCGGCCTGAAGCCTCTACTCGGCCTGAAGCCTCTACTCGGCCTGAAGCCTCTACTCGGCCTGAAGCCTCTACTCGGCCTGAAGCCTCTACTCAGCCGGACGCCGGCATTCAGCCTGATGCCTCTACCCCCAGCATGATGAACTGATCCAGCCTGACGATCCTATTAGGCCAGTTGACTCGATGCCCGCTGTTGATCCAGATGATCCGGTACCTGATCCGGTGCCCGCTGTCGAGCCAAATGACCTGATGCCTGGTGACCCAGTGCCCGCTGTCATACCTGGTGACCCGATGCCCGCTGTCGAGCCAGACAATCCGGTACCTGATGACCCGGTGCTCACTGTCGTGCCTGTTGACTCGGAGCCCACTGCCTTGCCAGATGACGCGGTGCCCGCTGTCGAGCCAAATGACCTGATGCCTGGTGACCCGATGCCCGCTGTCCAGCCAGACGATCCAATGTCTGACCCAGTGCCAGCGGTCATCCCAGTTGACTCGGAGCCCACGGTTGTGCCTGGTGACTCGGTGCCCGCCGCCGCCCCGCCTGGGGGCCTGAGACCTGTCGTTCCGCCTGGGGGTCCGGCGCCCGCCGCTCCGCCTGAGGGCCCGAGACCTGTCGCTCCGCCTGGGGCGTCCGGCGCCCGCCGCTCCGCCTGGGGGCACGATGCCTGTCGCCCCGCCTGGGGGCACGATGCCTGTCGCCCCGCCTGGGGGCACGATGCCTGTCGCCCCGCCTGGGGGCACGATGCCTGTCGCCCCGCCTGGGGGCCCGGCGCCCGCCGCTCCGCCCGGGGGTCCGACGCCCGCCGCTCCCCCCGGGGGTCCGACGCCCGCCGCTCCCCCCGGGGGGTCCGACGCCCGCCGCTCCCGCCCGGGGGTCCGACGCCCGCCGCTCCGCCCGGGGGTCCGGCGCCCGCCACCCCGCCCGGGGGTCCGGCGCCCGTCGCCCCGCCCGGGGGCCCGGCGCCCGTCGCCCCGCCCGGGGGCCCGGTGCCTGCTGCTCCGCCTGGTGGCCCGCTGCCTGCTGCTTCGCCTGGTAATCCGATGTGCCTCTGCCCGGAGTCCTGCCCGATGTGCCTCTGCCCGGAGTCCTGCCCGATGTGCCTCTGCCCGATGTGCCTCTGCCCGATGTGCCTCTGCCCGGTGTGCCTCTGCCCGGAGTCCAGCCCGGTGTGCCTCTGCCCGGAGTCCCTGCCCGGTGTGCCAGTCTTTGATATCCCGCCAGTTACCAGACCCGGGCGGTGGAACATTTTGCCCAGCTAGGACTGTTTGGAGCGTCCTGAGGCCGCTCCTTGGGGGGGGGGGGGGGTACTGTTAGGAATGGACTGGCCAGCAATGGTGGGACTCACCTGCCTTTTGATCTGCAGTACCAGGGCTGGCCAGCGGGTGCTCCCAGCAATCAGAGACTCAACCTTTCAGCCAGCTAACACCTGGAACTGATGATGCTGGGGTATTTAAGGGATGGCCAGACCCACAGACTCTGCCTTGGTGTTGTTTGTCCTGGGCCCTGTATCTGTCCTGCATCCTGTTTCTGTCCCTCTGCCTGACCCTCTGTACTACGCTGCTTGTTACCTGTTTTGATCTCTGGCTTGTGACCCTGACCATCCCTCTGCCTGACCCTCTGTACTACGCTGCTTGCTACCTGCTGAACCTGGCCTGTGACCCCGACCATTCTCTGCTTGCTCCCCCTGTACCTACTTGCCCAATTGATATTGACCCGGCCTGCCTGACGACGCTTGCTTGTATGTACTGTTATCTGTGGGTGGTTTGGTTTGGTTTGTTTGCACTGTATTATGTTTAGTATTGCACTGCGTTTATGTTTGTATGGTTAGTGTTAATAAATTGTATTGTTTATCACATATCTGAAGTCTGCGTTTCCCTGCATCAGTCACACACCTCTGGTCATACCTGGGAGCCCTGACAAGGAGTGTGTCTATGGGAATGTTTGACCATTCTTCCAGGATCGCATTTGTGAGGTCAGGCACTGATGTTGGATTAGAAGGGCTGGCTCGCAGTCTCTGCTCTAATTCATCCAAAAGTTGTTCTGTCGGGTTGAGGTCAGTACTCTGTACAGGCCTCTTACTCATCCATGTCTTTATGGACCTTGCTTTGCGCACTGGTGCGCAGTCATGTTGGAACATGCCCCAAACTGTTCCCACAAAGTTGGGAGCATGAAATTGTCCAAAATGTCTTGGTATGCTAATGCCTTAAGAGTTCGCTTCACTAGAACTAAGGGGCCAATCCCTGAAAAAACCCCACACCATAATCCCCCCTCCACCAAACTTTACACTTGGCACAATGTAGTCAGGCAAGTACTGTTCTCCTGGCAACCGCCAAACCCAGACACGTCCATCAGATTGCCAGAGAAGCGTGATTCGTCACTCCAGAGAACACGTCTCCACTGCTCTAGAGTCCAGTGGCGGCGTGCTTTACACCATTGCATCCGACACTTTGCATTGCACTTGGTGATGTAAGGCTTGGATGCAGCTGCTCGGCCCATGGAAACCCATTCCATGAAGCGCTCTACGCACGGTTGTTGAGCTAATCTGAAGTCAATACTTTGTAGACAGTTGGCAACTTCTGCACCCTGTGCACGTCAGCATGCACTGACCCCACTCTGTCATTTTACGTGGCCTACCACTTTGTGGCTGAATTGCTGTTGTTCCCAGTTGCTTCCACTTTTTTACAATACCACTAACAGTTGACCGTGGAATATTTAGCAGCAAGGAAATTTCATGGATGTACATACTGCACAGGTGGTAACCTATCACAATACCAAGATTAAATTCACTGAGCTCCTGAGAGTGACCCATTCTTTCACAAATGTTTGTAGAAGCAGTCTGCATACCTAGGGGCTTGATTTTACACACCTGTGGCCATGGAGGTGATTGAAACACTGAATCCAGTGATTTGTAGAGGTGTCCCAATACTTTTGGCAATATAGTGTATGTAGTCAGAATTAGAGTGCATACACACTGAAATAGTTTAATTTGCTGTGTTTGAGGCATTTGATTATTTTGGAGCACTTCTAAAAATGCTTTTATGTTTCTAGTTCACACAAGAATAATTCTGCATGTTTCCATTGTCCTGTGGTGAGTTTCCAGGCTTCTTTCTGTGTGGTCAGCACATGTGACCAAAGCTAATAACACTCCATGGAAACATTGTAAATGCATCCAAACACATGTAGATTGTGAAATGTATGACAAATGCACTGCTGGAAATTATTAAAGAACTCCAGTATGTACTAATAACATCTAAACAGCCAAAATAACACTTAGATGCACGGGACCTCAAAAAATGTTTGTTTGTTTTTTTAGAACAGGGTTTCTATTGGGTCTAACAACCCATGGGAAAGTTCTGAGTCTCCTCTGTGGTTCTCTGATACTCAATGTGTCAACTACAGACCCCTGGTGTTTTCTAAAATAAAATACTTTAGATGTGAACTGAGCAATGAAAGCTATTTCAAGTGACTGCCAGCAGAGTTCATAGTGCTATTAAGATTGGGCCATCTTTGTGAAGCCCTGACATAGGTCTCCTATAACATTTCATCTTAATTCTAATAATATGAACTGCTCAAGCCTTGAGGAAGGGGAGGCCTTTCCCCTGAAATGCGTTGGCTCTTTTTGATGCTCTTAAAGTGGAATTCAATGTTAAAACTGACTATGCTTAAAACTGCTCTCACCCCTCTTCTAACACCTATAATAAACTACCCCTAATGACCTAACTATCCTACTCTCAGTAAGGGGTTTGGATGATACTGGCCACCATTCCACCATGAAAAAGGACTGGTGGCTGGCAACAGAGCAGAGTTTCTGTGGGGGACAGTGTGGGAGACAAGGTTAGTGTTGCAACAAGAACTTCAGGTTTTAATTTCTACATAGTATATGAAAATGCATTTCAACTAAAGTGTTGGGAAGAAGGTTTAGGTTAAAGGTTAGATTGTGGTTAAGTTTATAGCCAATTTTATGCTAGCCACAAAATATTGATATGATTGTTCAGTATTATGATCAGTTTGATTTTTTGGTCTGCAATGCCACAAATTTACCAATTTCCCATTTCTCCTTGAACAAGAGATCACAGATCACATTTGCTGAAACTTGGCAAGTGCTTTTGAAACAACTTCAAGTAACTGTAATTTAAAAATTGACTATAAAAAAGCCTGTTTCAATTTTTTTGTGTGATTTTTACTAAGCACTGGTAATAGAGAATCATAGAGAAGAGCAACTGAGTGTGTGTTTTTGTACATGAAGCACTGTAAATGTTGAATCATTAAATGAGTCATTGAAATATCTGTCAGGCCCATCATTAGGAAAACTTTGTAATTATGATCCTGTGATTAACTATTACTTTTTCAAGTGTGATAGATTAACATTTTCAGTTTTCATGAGGATGTGTTTTAGAAAAACTATGATTGGAGAGGCATGCTCACTAATGAAAGTTGAATGTGTTTTTACCTATCCCTATGTTGCTATTGTTATTGATGCCTGTTAGCTACAACATGCCCCGCTGGACCACGTTCACATACCTGCACTTGTAAAATATTAGTTGGTATTCAAATCGCTTATTTATAATCAACGTAACATCATGGGCCTGATCTAGGGGGGGTGCTCTCGGGTGGGCTGTGTCCACCCCCCCCCCCCAGATTTATGTTGTGCCCTCCTCCCCCAGGCTGGCCCCCCCACTAACCACATTTTACCTGGCCTTGCTGAGCTCCTTTCCTATTCCCCATACTTAGGGCCAGGACCACGAGTGGGCATCCCTGTTGCTGACACCAGAGACAAGCATTGACAATGCTCTCCCCCCTCCAGTGTTCAGTGGAGTGCTCTTCTGTACAGTAGATGAACACATGATTGATAGATAGACTGTATACAGTATGTTTATCTGCCCCCTACCCTCATTATCCTGCTGTTAGGGGATGAGCAGTCCTCCATGGAGAGATATGGGTAGTAATTAGAAGATGAGCGAATCGAACCAGCGAACCGTTAATAATTCGAGTCGAGTCGAATTTCAGGAAATATTCGAATTCGCGGCGAAAACCGAAATTTTGCACTACTTCGGGATCTGTGCGCGAATCGAACATTTCCCGATCAGCCGGCAAAAGTGTCCCTGCAGTGAGCTCCGCTATTTTATGACAGTTCTCTGACAGAAGGGAACACAATGTTTAGCGGTTGAAACATTGTATCTATTTGTTTAC